TCAAGGTTAAAAACAAATCATTCCTCGACAAGCTTTGACTTAGAACCCGCAAGGCAACAGACGGCCTGGGGTATAGGCTACAACCTGTAAAAGCACGATTTAAAAAGAAATTTCAAAAACATGCCACATACAGAGAAGCTACCAATTGAGTAATGTTTAGCAGAAGCGTTAAAGCTCTATACCCTATTGGAGAAAAAGGAAGTATTTATTGAATCTTTCTAAACAGAAATTGACAATAATTGTTAATTGGAAATTAATACGAGGGCTGCTATATATATTTCTGGCCTAATAATGAAAATGCAAATATTTACCATCAAAAATTGTTCTATTGCTTTTCTGGAGTATTCTCCAGCCTGATTTATACACTTTTGCATGCGCTCAAACCATTTGTCGAAGCACTTTTTCCATTCCGATTAAGAGACCTCCAAAACATGGTTTTCGAACGAAAATTGCTGACCACGCATCTTTTTCTTGATGTGCGGGAATGAAAAGAAGTCATTGGATGCTAATTCAGGGCTGTATGGCGGATGAACCATCAATTCGACGTTTCGACAGTTCAAAAAGGCGCTAGTTTGAGCCGATGTGTGAGATCTCGCGTTGTCATGGTGAACACTGATTCGTCTTGTCTTGTTCGTTTTTGGAATTTCTCCGATGACTTCAGGCAAACAAATTGTGGTGTACCACTCAGAAGTGACCGCCCTTCGTTGCTCAAGCGGAACAGTCGACACATGACCAGTTTTCCCGAAGAAATATATAGTGTTGCCTAGGCCAGAAATATTTATAGCAGCCCTCGTAATCTTAAAAAACTAACATTTATGCTATTGAGCTAGGAATACCATGTTTATCAATGATTTTCTTTTAAGGAGATTCAGTGGAGTTGCAGACGATAATGGTCGAACATGATGATTTGAATGCGACTTGTGTCTCTCTTGTGGAATTTAGGTGTATATTGGCAAACAACTTCTTCAACAGTTGATACATTTAGATCTTTGTGCAGATTTTTGTTTCTGACATACCACGGAGCGCACTTAGTTTGTTGAAGAATTTAATTTAAATTTGTACTCTTTGAATATTTTTCTAAATTTGTGTTACACGCTGAACATAGGTCCAAATTACAATATAAAAAAATTTAAATAAACTATAGAATTTTTTTATTATTGCTTCATAGTATTTAAATGGAGTGTTAGAAAAAAACTTTCATTATTTCACAGGTAATTCAGATGTGTAACCATTCGTACTACTTCAAGTGTTAGTTATTCTTGAACTTAAAAAATTCTCAATAGACCCAATAAATGATGTAGCACAGCGAATAATCAAATGATTTTAAAGGCATCTGTTGTATTTTAAAATAGTTCAATAATATAAATACTGTATAAATAAAGTATATATATTTATGTGTTTATAAAACATTTATAAAAATATATAAACAAAGTACATAAATGTGCAATTTACGTAAGTAATCAAATCTAATTTGAGTTCAATTTCTTCTACGAGTAAAAAGCAGGTCAGAATTCAATCAATTTTCCTCTAGTATTTCTTCACAAAATTAGGAAACTCAGCCCCTCAAGACGATTTATCATATATAAATATGACGTTGTTCTCGTATTTATAGTTTGTATTCGAGTCTTCCCAACGAAATGAAATTGTAACATTTAAATATTCGCATTTATGAAATCCGGAAAAGTAGCACAAATTGTTTTCGTTTTTGTATCTTCAGAGATTTGCAAAATGCAAATTCAAATGCGAACATTTTTTTTGGCGTTGATAAATTTATTCGCTGCAAAATTTTTATATTTCATTCGTAACACACGATTTAAAAACAAGCGTGGGAATTCAAATTATATATACAATTTACTATATATTCATATATATATATACCATACATATATATATATGCATATGCATGATTATATTAGTTAGATTCAATAAACGATTATTAGACTTAGTACATTTATTTAGCGAAAATATTTAATAAATTGACTGTAGATAAATAGTTGCATATTTTCATCTCTAGAATTTGGAGGAAAATTTGTTGTAGTTCACTTTGTAGAATTAATGAAATTTTAAGTTTTTTATAAATAAACATTTAATATTATATTTAATAAATAAATATTTCTTTGAAATTTAATGTGAGTAGTGAATGGTTATAAAATTTAAATAACAATTCAGAGAATTGAGATAAAAATTGGGATTCATGTGAATTTATTCTATTGCAAATTAAACTAACATTTTATCTATTCTATCTGTTATCAATAGCATCAATACAAATATTTGTTTCTATTTAAGGTTTATTTTTGAGCACAAGTCAAATCATCATAACTCTGAAGCGATTATGTATTAAAATTATAGTGAAAATAATTGTTTACCCCATTAATTAATTAATTTTGATGAAATTTCAATGTATGTCTATTACCATAGACATCATAGAAATTGAAAGATATCTTGATTTTGATAACTTGAGGTAATCCTGAGATATAGCATGGGTATTTAAATACCCAACAGTCATTGGTGTGATAATTTTTATATCAATTTTATATATTTGGCATCCTCCCTACATAGAAGACACACTAATAAGGGTGAAACTTCCTTCCTGTTTTTTTCTCCATCGCTAATATTTGGCAGCACTTTTCCCAAGCATTTTTCGACAAAAAAAAAACAATTCAACCTGTAAAAACCTAATATTAACTAGGTAAAAATTATACTGTTCTGTTTTTATGATGTAGATTCCTTCATCCTTCTCTTTTAATGTAAAAACAAATTTATCGTGATATCTTTCAGCTAGCTCGCGATAGAATTATTTACGCGTCTATATTTTATTGGGTATTTAAATACTGAATACGCTAAACTGGGTTAATATAGTAAAATTATTAGACCATAATTTTTAAAATACAAAATTCTTAATCAGTTATAAATCCATCTTAGACTAGAAAACTAGTTACAGTAAATAGAATTGAAGTTGACAGCATGATCACTCTTGTTACCAATAAGTGTAGGCATGAATGCATAAAGATGTGGATTTTTATGTGATGATCTTTGCCATTATAAAGCCAAGACTTAGGCACTGTAGGTACCGGAACATGAAGGGACCGATGACGATGAAATAGGAGACACCCTAGCAAAAAAGAGTACATGTACTCCTTTGATTTGTCTAGAGCCTTACTGCGTGGTAATAAATAGATTCGCAAATAACTTCATATGTGAACGGGAGTAACGAAATCTACTTGAATACTGGTGAGTCCAAACAGATATGCGGGAGTCAAGAAGGTTCATTGATTCTTAACACATCAAAGTTAACCTATCCTTAGTCCTAGCAGAAATGATATTAAACCCTACTCTGAACTTCTTACAAGACACTGTAGACTCAATTCCCACAAGAAGAACATAGGTGCAGTAGAAAGTGATTCCTGTCAACTCTGTCGTGAGGAGAAGAAAACATCAGAACATGTTCTACGCAACTGCCCAACGGTGGCAAGACAGAGACTTGACAACCTTAGTCCCAAATCAAATAGGTTAAATTAAACCTACAGCGATTACGAGATTTATAAATGGGCGTAGAATAGATATTTTTATGGTATGTCTATTTAATAAAGCCATGGCGAAGAGGAAAAATTGCTTGGTAACTTACCATATATATACCCAGCTTTCGTAAATTTCAGAGATATCTATTCACGTAACTTTGTTAAGAGTAGTAAATTCTACGAATGATTTTACAGGCGGTCTATCACAGACTCATCCTTAAAATTAACCTAGCGTTACATTCAACTTTTATTGAAAGATGTAAAGTCTAAGCTCTGGAATTAGGGTAAACATAAGAAATATGTTTAATTAATTTTGTTAATACATTACACCAAACATAGGTTAGTCCAAGATGTACTACTTCTAACTATCTGTAAATCGAGTTCTGAATTTGGGAACGAAGAAATACAGTCAAACTTCCATAACTCAACCTTCTATGACTTGAATTTCTATAACTCGAACTAAATAGATAACAACAGGATTTAAAGAGCAAATAACATAATATTACAAAAAAAAATTCTTTAATTCGTAGTCTCCATAAGTCAAACCTTTCGAAAGTTGAAAAAATGAACGGTACTATGTAAGGTTACCTCAGACGTACTCTTATGTCTAACCTAATCTGAAGTCTGCTTCGTCTTTACAGATTGTTTTAAATATATATATATATAAATATGGACTGATATATACTTTTTAAATAATATATACAGTAGACAAAATAAAAACAAAAACAAATGCGCAAATAAATATCGTGTAGGTTAAGTGCAAAATTCAATTTATATTTAAATTGACAAAAGAAAATTAATTTTTATTAAATAATTGGAAAATGAAAAAATTTTCACACAAAGAAAAATATCGCAACCATTGAAATTGATTGTGATTGTAAAACATGGGGATCTACTTTCCATATTAATTTTTAAATTGACTTTTAAGTCATCGATCACATTCAACTGATGTACGCAGATATGTGAATGCAGCAATTATGTAGCGGTTCTTGAAGATTTGTAATAGTACTAGAAAAAAATATACTAATCTCTAAAAGCTGAAGACAGAGAAATTATCCGTTTATAACCATTTCTTATTAACTGGATAAACTGATGGTTGAAGAAATTTTTTTATTTCGCTTTGGACCTTATAAATTATATGTATAAATAGAACCGTTCAAGTCAAATATGTGAGACTTTTACTTGAACCAATGGATAATATGAGTTTTGTGCACGAATATATAATATTATCTAACTTGGGCCAAAGGAACTAAAATGAAACTATAACTACAAAAAAATAATGAGCACAAAAACTATTTAAAACAAGTTTAAATAATTTAATGGTTAAATAAGTTTAATGGATTTAAATTTTCTTATAACTAATTCTCAATCTTCTTAACCAATCTTGTGAGAATAAATTCTATTTATAGATTATTGATATATAGTAATATTACATAATTACAATAAACAAAAAATAAAAATTAAAAAAAAAAATACATTTTAACTTACTTGTACTTTTCCGCTAATAAGTCCTTGCCAAAATTGCCAAATTTATTTGATTTAGCATAATTTGTATCACCACCCTCTTCAATAATTTCAATAGTCGGCTCTTCACCCATTCTAATACCACCGCTTCCAATGCAACTGTCATCGACACTGCGACGTTTTACAGGTTCAGAGCTACCCTCAACATGTATGGGTACAAAGTGCACTTTACCAATACTATTGCCAGTAGCGCCATTTATGTTGACAATTTGTTCTTCAGTTGTACTTGAGCCAGACGAACTAGCGCCATTTGCCTGCAATAAACTCGAAGCAGTCGACTCGACAACATCAGGCAAGCTAATGCTTTCAATGCACACTAAACGCTCAGCAACATTAGTAACACCACCATCGTCCACATTATCTAAATAATCATATTCCTCGTTCGGCATTAAGAGTTCATCACAATCCGTTGAATTACCATCGCGAACAAAAGGTAAATGATGACCACTTGTATTACTAGTTGCGGCGCGCTGTGCAAAAGCTTCTCTATCGCTGCTACCCGCTTTGGCCTGAGCACCATCGACAAACCCAGAGTCAGGACAGCCAGTACTCAAATTCGAATCACTGGCATTTTCACTCTTCACGAGATTATGTTGCTCAGGTACATCATAATGTTGGCGTGAGATTTCACTGCCAAGGTCTTCGGCATCTTCGTATTCTTCCGGTACTTCGGCTAATTTTATATTGATGTGACGCGCAGAAGTGTGCAGTGGATAGGGACTATTTTGATTTTGATTTGTTACAATGGATGCAGTTTCACTTAAAATACTCTCAAGCACCTCTTCAATCGGTGTTATCTTAACACTATCGTAACTAGTATCCGTGCCATTATATATAACCGGTTGTGCAAGGCAATCACCAACCTCTCCATTAATATCTCCACTACAATCAACCACAGTTATGGTTGGCAGTACTATTTTTGGCTTATCAGTCACGTCAGAATTATCTTCTTTCGGGATAACCGATTCACGAAATTTGCGTGCTGCACTATTTCGCGTATTTGTCGGCGCTGTTTCATTTATTTTGGCGTTTGCCTGCCCCATTGAAGCGTACGTACGCAAATTGTCGCCCGGCGTACTGTCTTGCGGTTCAATATTTCGCGTTTCTCTTGCTACACTACTTTGCCACAAATTATCACGTTCACATGCCGCAAGTTTGACTTCGGCCGTTTGATTTATACCGTTTACACCGTTTTGTGTTAAATGCGCGCATTTATCAAATTCACTATAATCACACCCGATTGAGGCTTTTTCACTAGTTGCCACTTCTGCAAATCCACAATCGCGCTGTTGTTCACGTTCACCGCTCCGATCGCATTCGTGCTCGATACCGACCCTTTCAGTATTGTTTTCTGCCGTCGAGACTGTGTCTGTTGTGAAGGCGCTTGAGTTAATATTTGGCACTTGAGTGGTAAACGAATTATGCCTTTCTTCCAAAAACTTGGCGCTCTGCGCTCTTCCAGTGTACAACTCATCATCGGTTTTGCACTCATCCGCTGAAGACGAGCGAGCACGTTTACTCTGCATTCCGACAATATCCGCTGAATGAGCACGCTGTGTACGTTCTCCGTTGACTACATCTGAGCGAAAGGTATCTGCGCTAAAAATATGTGTAGAATTCTGAGATCTATTTCTGTCATCAGCCTGTTGACGAAGCGGGTCGGTGGTCTGCTCAAGGTGTTTTGCAGTCGTTTGTTTTGTAGTCAAACTTTTGTTATTATCAAAGCGATTCATTAGCGTTTCATATAAGGCTGGTGAATTGACTGCTCTATTATGAATAAGAAACTCCGATGGCACATTTTTATTGCCCGCACTTAGCTCCGAATTACTTTCTAGAGCTCTATGTTGGTGTTGTTGTTTGGAGTGCGGCAATTGTTGCTGTTGATTTTGAAGTTGTTGCACTTTAGTCTGATTTTGTACACTTTTATTCCGACTATGATTATTTCGTCCACGCGCCATAAATAAATTACCTAACTTAGACGACCAAGCACTTGTTTTCGCAGCTTTTACTATATAATTTGATTTAGTCACTCGACTGAGTGTTTCATTGTCAATATGTGTTACGTCAGTTGAACGCGTAACCTTAGCAGGCGATGTTCCTTTATTTGTTCCCAAATTTAAGGAATATCTGAAGAATGATGGTCGTTTACCTTTTTGAATTTTCTTTGATTGACGATAATTAACTTCACTATAACCTTGATGTGTTGCGTCTGTACCAGAATTTCTGCTCTCAGTAATTGTTTCAGTGTTGTCTGTAGAGTCGTTATTGAATTTTTTCGATAAGGTCGTATTATGCTTAAGTGTGCTATATGGATTGCCAATATTTTTGCCACTCTGCCGATCAGCTCGTTCGTTTCGACTAGTGCTAGCGATTTCATCATTTACGTTGGTGACCGACGTTGATGGCACATCTTTGTTTGTTGTTTGATATGCTCTTTTTAGAAAATCCTCTTTGCACGGTGCCGTGTCACTTTCAAATATGTGCTCTGACAGAGAATTATTCTCAGAATAATGTGAGAACTGTTCTGACATAGATGCTGCAAGATTTGATGCTGTTTGCGCTAAACTAGCTCTGTGCTCAGGGGGTTGAAATCCGAACCGATTGTAATTTTCTGCTAGTGATGCGGCAGCTGATGTACTCGCCTGTTCATCGTTGGTGCTTGGCCTGAGCAATGCTTCAGCTCTTGCTAATGCCGATTTATTTGCGATAAGATCATCAATGGTTTCTTTATCAATACTAACAAATTTATTGTAATTGTCATCAGCATTCTGCAATGTAACTGTGGAAATTCCTGAAGTGTTGCTAGTAGTTGCATTCAAGGCCGGTTGCGGTGCCTCTAAATTTTCACCTGATGTCGTTTGAGTTGTGGGTATATCAGCGGATTTAGAGTTCTTTTTGCGAGTAAAAAAACGAAACATTTTCTAGCGGTAAGATTTATGGAAAAAAATAATTAAAAATACATTTAATTTAAATATATATTTGAAAATTTAGAAGAGGGAATTAATAAGAAGAGTCTTAATAGTGTTTAATGGGATGAAAGTACACGAATGAAATATTATATTTTAGCCATTATAAACAGATTTATTATTATATTAAATAACTAAAGCAAAATTTATGAATAATTGAAAAAAATTTATTTTAAAATATTTATTTCAAAAATAATTTTTTTTCATATAAATGTGATTATTTAAAAACTTGTCAAAAATTAAATTAAACAAAAATTTTAAGACTTATCATTAGATAGTTATTTTATTATATACCAACCTTTAATTAATTATAAAAGTTAATTAGTTCTCAGCTATTTCTCAATTTGTTGTATAGTTATAATTTTGTTGTCTCTTCGACTTCTCTCTTGAATATTTATGTAGACTGTATAAAAATATAATTTATAATTTATAATTATGTTTAATTTTAATAGTCAATATAAATTTATTTGCACTGTTTATTGATTTAAATAATAATTATTGTAATGCACAATACAATTGACAACAATTGACTTAAAATTATATTTAATTTTATGTAATATTTTTTTAATAATTTTATTTTTTAATTGCAATGACACCTAGATCTGATTTTATATAAACTTCAAAAATATATATATCTTATTAATATATATATCTAATATAAATAAAACATACAGCAAAGCTTCAAATACTGCCATAAAGCAATTAGAGATAGCACAAAATCTGGCTTTAAGAAGACTAATTAAGATTCCTTGATTCTAAGAAGCGACTCAGTGAAAAAATATATCAAGGACAGAGCCCTAAAATTATTCACAAAAGTTGATATGTTGCCCAACCCCGCCCTAACAAACCTTAAGTCCACCTCAGGACGCACAGGAAGATATGCTGATCTACGGGCCGTCATCAGTTAGAAGATAAATAAATGATAATGATTCTAGTATAGTTAAAGTTCAGTGTGGGGCAGGGATAAGCCCCTCAGTCACAAAAGAGTAAAAGTGCGTAATATCACTAACTCAAATCACAACAACAACAACAACAATTTTTTTTATTTATAATTATAGTTGCCAAGCTTGTCTACACCAACAATGAAAACTTAATAGTAAAATAATCATAGCCAGATAATGTGAAGTGATCTTTGCTGAAACTATATACGAGCATATTATTTATAAAATCATATTAGGTACATAGGGACGAAGGTTTATAAAATTCCAGCCTTATCCCAATTTGTCTCTTTCATCCACACTTGGAGAGCCACAACTATAATAATTATAATCAAGAATTCATAGATTGTGAGCAAATCACCCTTTTTCTTGTGATTAGTCGACTATAAACTAGACTGAACGATATGCCAAGGTGCTTTCTATATATATTAATATCTTTAAGATAATGAAACCAAAATACAAACCTTACTTGGAATGTATTTCTAGAATTTAATAGTTATAATCACTTCATACGAAACACCTTAAATAAATAACTGATATAACTTATATATATCTACTAAGAAACAATTACAATATGAACAATCGAAAATCTCAAATTTCTTCTTCTATAAGAAGAAAACCTAAAGAAAAACCTTAGTTAGAAAGTTTTCATAAAATTTAATAGTCACACTTTCCATACAGAAAAGGGTTCAAACATATAAACAAAATATATATCTATTAAGAAATAATATATACAACGCAAAGTCGATGACAAACAGGTACAGAGGTAGGCCAAGAACAAGATGGAACGAGAATGTGTATGGTGATACAAGAAAGATTGGAGTACTGAACTGGAAGAGTGTAGCAGAAGTTCGGAACAGATAGAGGCAGATCGTGAGGAAGCCCAAGGTTCATACTGGACTGTAGTGCCAAATAAGAAAAAAAGAAGAAACTATTTCAAAGATCATTAATATTAATTTAAAAAAAAAACAATGCAAACAATTGGAAAGCTTGGTTAGTCGCATCTATTCCAAAAATTACAAAATGTAAACCATCAATACGAATGAATGATATGACGGAAGATCGAAGTAATAATCTTTTCCTTACTTTACTGCTATAATAGAAAAATCTGAACAAAACCAAAACAAAACTCAATGTGTTACAGTAGTTTAATCGTCAGCTTTTTTCAAACAAAAGACCACTCTAGATCTACTTATAAATAATTTTATAATCCAATAGAAACATTAATACAATAGAAATCATCAGAAAGTCAGATTAGTTACAAACATATACAAAACAATAATCTTGAATTGTGGTATATAGGTATCATGATATGATATATCAAGCCATACTATGATAAAAAATATTTTTATTACAACTAGAAACGAAGATGTGAAATTACACTAATCCAAAACTAAATAATATATTTCTCAACTTTATTTTTTTCTTCTGTTTTTAACTTCATTTTATTATGTACAATCTATTCTAAGCATGAATAATAAGTACTACTTATAGCAATAACTATATTTAACAGGCTTGTACGGGACTACCCAGTGGTAATCACCGCCTTTTTAATTAAGCAGTAGTCAAGTTCAACACTCGTTAAAG